TACAGTAGAAGCCAGAAAGTTGGAAAATCATTATCCTCAAGTCCTCAAGGCACAGCATCAGGAATCGGACTGGGGTCCACCATAGACTCTAAACCCTAAACCCCTGAACCCTAGACCCCTAAACACTAAATTGCAAACCCTAAACCCCAAACCCTAAACCCCTAAACCCTTAATCCCTCGACCCGGAGAGGATACTCCTGGCGCCTTCCACGCCGAGGCTAGGGTCTTTGGGACTTTCAGCCTAGCCAGAGGGGCCTAAAAAGTTAGACTAGGGTTCCTTTAAAGGGTTCTTATCAAGGGTCTATAAGGGTTACGAAAAGGGCTTTTATGAGGGTTTAGCAGAGGTGCCTTAAAAATACCCATACGATTTTAGGAGTTCCTATTTTGGGGGCTCCTTATTTTAGTTATATTTTGGGGGTTCATATAATTCGAGTATAGTGGGCCCAAACACCCAATTTTAATTAGTGAAGCCCCTGGATTAGCTAGAGAATCATTCAGGGCAAAGCCATGAATCGTACAACCACCCAACCTGCTACAGCGACACCTCAAAAAGGGCTTCCGAACTTTGAGTTGTCCCACGGTTTGGGACGTAGGTTGCAAAAAAGTTGGCACCTTTTGGTTTCGCAGCCTTTGTTGACTTCTGAAAAGCGGGGGTGGTTGCTGGGGCTCCATTCCGACTGCTGCAGTTCGAGGCTTGCATGCTACACAGGTGCCCGAAGCTTTCCCATACCTCGAAACATGGTTCAGGGTAGAGTTCGATTGGACCGCTGGTTTTCTTCTGCTACCACCCCAGATGTAAAGCGCAAGAGCTGTGACGTAAAAGCACCCAAAAAGATACAGGAGTCTCACTGACACTAAAACCCCCCACCCTAAACCTATCGAGTATGCATGTTAAGCTTTTCCCGAGGTATTGCGCCCTCTTGTAGGCCCTTACTCTCTGAGATCTCTAGCCAAACGAGACCCACCCCTGCGCAGACCATGCGACGGCAAACCTGGGACGAGGCGTCTATGCTTTCTGAACTGCGGGGTTTCAGGGTTACAGGGTTTCTAAGCTTTATACGGCTACAGAGTTTACTGGGTGAATAGAGATTGAAAGGGCTTGGACGGCTTATAGGGCTCACGGGGATATGGTTTAAGTGCTTAATTACAGTGCTTGTAGGGTTTATCGGTGAAAAGTCTTTGACCGATGCAGGTTTGGCTTTAATTGCGATCACATTCGAGACTCCATGGTGTTACCGGGTTGACACCCTCGTCTCACTCGCTCCCGCTCTCCCCTACCTCCCTTCCTCCTTCGATCGCACGCTAGATCTCTCTCTCTCTCTCTCTCTCTCTCTCTCTGTCTTCCGTTGGGATGAAAGTCAGAAATGAGGATTTTGGCTTGTGGTTTGGGTCTGATGACAACCGCAGCTTCCAAGATCATTTAAAGACAGCCAAACAGCCCCGATTGTTGACTATCCCACGGCCGAGCTCCCAAACCCAGACCTTCGGTTGAGGTCAAGACTTAAACCGCAAATCCTAGCCTTTCACCCCAGAGCCAGGGTGTCCTACTACTAGTACTGCTGCTGCTGCTACTACTCCTGCTACTATTGCTACTACTACTACTACTACTACTTCTACTACTACTACTACTACTACTACTACCACTACCACTACCACTACCACTACCACCACTACCACTACCACTACCACCACTACCACTACTACTACTACTACATACTACTACGACGACGACGACGACGACTACTACTACTACTACTGCCACAACTACCACTGCTACTCCTACTACTACTACTACTACTACTACTACCACCACTATTACCACTACTCCTACTATTACTACTACCACAACGACGACTACTAGTGCTGCAGATGGACCTTAGCAGCATCCATTATGGAGGCCTTCACCTCCAGCCGCACTCCCACACGGAAGGAGAAGTGAGGTTTGCCGTTTTGCCGTTATGGTGAAGGTTTAGGGTTCAGGACGTGGGGTTTGAAGGTGTAGAGTTCAGGACTCGGGGTTTGGAGGTTTAGGGTGAAGAGTTTGGAGGGGTTTTGGCTGCGGCTTTTCGTTCTGGGGTTTGCGGACAAGCTTCCAAGCATGTCTCCCTTTGTCCGATGTCGGGGCCTCGTGTCCTTTGTTTTCTACTTTGGAGAACTGGGCCACACAGAATAATTCCAGGCACGGATGTGGGTCTGCCACAAACCTTGGCATGGGTTTGGGGTTCAGGGTTTAGGGTTTAGGGGTTTAGGGTTTAGGGTTTAGGAGCTGATGTGCGGAGCTGCAGCATCGCTTGAGCTGGACTCGTTCGTGGAGGAGATGTCTGCGCATACAGCTGTTGCGGTGCCGATATGCGCTGCATGTGGCAGACTGCATGGTATAATCATAAGCTGCGACTGCGTAGGCGAAGCACTGCGGTATGCACCGATGCCGATAGCGACGCTCAACATGCTGAGCAGGAGCAGAAGGCCAAACGTCAGGAAGAAGCCAAACAGAGGGAAAAGGTTGCAAAGGAAGCCGCCAAGCTGGCACGGTTGCAAGCTGGCGCAGCTTCGCCCCTGGCTTCGAAGGGCCCGGTGGTGAGCCAGTGCTGGCGCCAGCATGAGGTATCCTTGCCAGCGCACGCCGCAAGGATTCAGCACATGCATGCCCTTTGCTTCAACTGAGCAATAGCCGCACGTACGGGGCCCGTGCGAGCATGCGCACGCGTTACAGGAACACGAGAACTGCATCATTGCCGCCAAGATACCTTACAGCACACCCTAGAGTAATCCTTATTATAGAACCCTTTTAAAAAACTCTGTAAAGGATCCCTATTCTGTTGATTAAGGTCCCTATATGACGCATCCACAGCAGCACATGCGACGCGAGCCAACCCTTAACCTTAAATCCCAAACCCCAGACCCTGAAGATTGAATTCTAAGCCAAGCCCTATACCTGAAAGCTCCGTAGGTTCTTGCAGCCTTAGTTTCTCGTTGCCGCGACCCCAAGGAAACGCCCAGTCTCCATCGGCTTCGGCATAATGTACCTTAATCAAAGCTTCAGCCCGAAACCCACAAGTTTCAACCCTCACTGTCAAGGCCCCTATGTTACGTGTTTAGGCTTGCAAATGCCCGTCCGAAGCCCAAGCTTCGCCCAGAGGAGCGCTGCGCTTCCGAGGCAGATGTCAAGAACCTCGAGGCAGCTTAGGGTACAGAGATCCCTGGTCTTTGGCAGAGAATGGGGGACTGAAACAGCTATCTTCGGGTTCCCGCAGTCCCCAGAGTATCTTAGGCTTAGGCTTCCCGCAATCGCTACTGGAGCACGGGTTCGTTTAAGGGTTACTACATTGCTTACTACCGATGCCCCTGCGCTGGTACAGTTGAGGGTTTCGGATGTTAGGATTAGGGTTTGTGGGGGTTTTGAAATAGGGTTTTGGGCTTAGGGCATTGGGCACAGTGCTTGGGGATTGGGGGTATGGGGGCATGTGCAAAAATTGAAAGAAGGCAGCCAAGACAATGAAGCCCGAAGCGTCTTGCGGCGCTCGTAACTGCCCCAACCAGCCCCCTGAGCTACAAATCACAAACTTCCAGTCCCAATCTCGTTGAACACCGCCCATGAGCCTATACCCCTGATCTAGTTGCTTTGGTTGCTCGTAGGTTACAGGCGACCCTGACCTAAACCTAAGTCTGTTCCGTAAACCAGGCAGCATGAGCAATCTGGCGAGTACACAACCTTGAATTATTCAATACCACGATCCTGATCACAACCAGACAAGGTACCCTAGTTACTCCTTAGTTGTCTGAGACACTCCTTCTTTCAACCATGGTTGCCCTCCATGCTCCCCTTAAGAGCAAGTTCCACAGAGACCGTTATGACGGTCTTGTAATCCTAGACCGAAGCCGTTCAACTCCGTACCCAGAGCCAGTAGATCTGCACCCAAAGCCCACATTCCAAATCCTAAACCCTGTAACCCTGAACATATATCCCTTCATCCTTATCCAGAAACATTGAACCCTGTCAGCGTCATTGAGATCGACTTCAGGATGTGTCGCGGCCCCTCGGCCACAGCGACAGCGGCTCCATCTTCCGTGGTGGGAGGCATCAAAGTTTGGGGGCTTCCTCACAGGGTTCCATTAGGGTGTCCTGAAGGGCTCTACAAGGGCTGCTTTGAAGGTTTCGTAAAGAGATTAGGGTTTGGCATTTGGGGCTCAGGGTTTGGATGTGAGAATTTAGGTGATTTAGGGCTTTTAGGTCTCTTGTGTTCTTCAGGCAGTTGCGTTTCTCGTTTCCAGTTCATACATCTTGGGCTTTGAGTGTAGTGATTTAGCGGTTTGGTTTTACTTTTTGTCCCATCCCGTGACTTACATCTTTCAGTTTAAGGTTTGTATCGGGCGTGCCAGACTGTGGGTTCGGGGCATAAGGCTTTATGACTGCCGCTTGGTGCAAACCTAGTATAGCTTCGCAATCTTGTGGAAAAGGCTTTTGAAACAGCACCTTGTGGGCCAATGCCAGGCCTTCCTAGGTTCCATCTAGGCTGGGTACCAGAGCAAGATCAAGTGGCATGTGCCTTTATGGCAAGGGTCGGAACTACGGGCCAAGGCTTGTCCATGCACTGTAAATCTGGAGGCTTGTTCATGAATCTTACGCTTTCTCTGCAGGCTGGTGAACGCCGAGAAGAAGAGGCCGGCAGTGAGAAATCCCCAATGCAGCGCTGCAGCAAGTGCCTCCAGCCTTCATGCCCGACTTGATCTAAGGCCGACGGGCCACGTTAGGAGCTTATTGCCCGATGCCGCATTCCTCGAGCATACTTCCACAGGCTGTCAGTACCCTCTCCTGTACGACCTCAGCCTTCGTGCTCAGCCCCTGGCTCGTAAGATCGTGTTCGAGTTGTATCGTGTGGCTACAATGAAGCATATGAAGCGGCGCTACTTGATCTACATCAGAAATACCCTGTAAGAATAGGAGCCGCTTCGAGTAGATTTTACAAAAGCCGACTTCGGGTCATCAGCTCTCTCGAGCAATGGGCTTTGACCGCAAAGACGTGGCCTTGGCCGTGGCAGGTGGCACTCTAGTTGGCCTCCTCTGGTGGAGCTTCCGACGCCGATATCGAGCTGATCCCCCGTTCCGCTACAGCCAAGCGGATTCCAAGCATCGTTTCGCTCTCTTGGACTCTAGGCTTGATGGGTTGGAACAGAGCCTGGATGCCTTCTCAAAGCAGGGCTGATTTCGAGGTTGCACTGATGCGGTTCCGCACATTCCGCGCCACATGAATAAAGCTTGCATGTTTGCAACATCCTTGGCTAGGATGCAAAAGCCCTCGTCCGACTCAAGGCGTGAATGCATGTTCCGTGTTTGCGCATGAACCTGAGGTCGGCAATGGGTCTTACCATAACTATCCAGATGTCGCTTGCACCATTGCAGACGTGGAGCTGATCGGCGAGACGATCAAGCGGAAGGGATTCGATGTCATGCCTCGTCTGAACTGTACATTTCGCGAGCTTGACCGCGCCCTCCAAGAAGTCAAAGACAAAGTGTCAGGACAGCACTGTGAAGTCTTACTATTTTACTTTGCAGGCCATGCCGTGGAGGCAGATGGCCAGAATGCCTTGCTTTGCCTTGACAGCGACCCCAACTACCTACATGAAGAGCACACCTTGTACAAGGTCTTTTCTAGTTTGGTGGAATCTTCTTCCAAGGATACCAAAATCGTGGCCATTCTTGATTGCTGTCGTAGTCCGGAACCCAAGCTTCGGCCGACATTAACCGTGAGGTTTCCCAAACATGGGCAGTTTTATGTGATGTTTGCATGCGGATCGGGACAGACGGCCGAAGAAAGCAGGTTCAGCAGACATGGCACTTTTACCGAAGAGCTTGCGAACTGGATTGATCGACAGTCCAAGTTCAACATCACGTCAGAGAGTTTCTCCGAGTTAGCCAATGCTGTAAGAACGCGCACGCACACACTACAGATTCCAGAGCTTCTTTGCAGATCCTTCAAGCGGTGGCCAAATCAGATACGGAATGTGCCGCGCCGCAACAAACATTTCGTAGGTCGCAAGAAGCTGCTGGAAGATCTCGCATCTCGAGTGTTCAAGAAGCCGGGCTTGCTATGCTTGGTTGCAACATCCGGTCTGGCCGGTGTGGGGAAGAGTCAGTTGTTGGTCGAGTTTCTGCACACCCAGTGCAACAGCAAGAGCATCGTGTGGTGGTTGAACGCAGAAGACGAGCTTGTTTTACAACAGGGCCTTGCGGATCTAGCTATGCGAGCAGGAATTGTTACGGAAGCAGAGGGCAGACACGAGTTGCGTGCTGCTGCCCTCAAAGCTGTCCGCGCTTTGGATGAGGAGCTTGAGAGTTGGGTCTTGGTTTTTGACAATGCGAAGGAATATCAGCTCGTGAGAGAATGGATTCCCTCCCAGGGCGGGGTTGTTCTAGTCACGTCTCGCAACCCGCACTGGGACAGTACAATTTCAATCCCTGTGTTCTCTCCGGATGAGTCGGTCGAATTGCTCAAGAGCCTTCTGGGAGAAACTGCACAAGTAGAAGGAGCAGCAGAAGTTGCGAAGATGCTCGGATATCATCCTCTAGCTCTTGCCCAGGCCGGTGGCTGGGCTCGCGAGACGAACATGGGCCTTCTCAAGTACAAGCAGCTTTTGGAATGCAGCGAGGAGCGTCGCCATCTCTTGCAGTCTGCACCAGATTCTTTGAGACATCAAGATTACAAGGCCACCATAGCATCGACAGTGGATCTGGCAATCAGCGACTTGTCCAACCCACTCGCGGCAAATATTTTCGATGTTTGCACAGTTATGTCTCCAGACAAGATACCCTACGAGTTCCTCTGGCTCTTCTACAAAAACCTGGTCCACAAGGCAGAAAAGGTGGCAACGGAAGCTGAGTTCTCAGCAGTCCTGAAGAAGGTGTGCGACCATTCGCTGATAACTGCAGCCGAAAATCATGCCTATGATATTCACCGTCTGGTTCAAACTGTGCGACGAGACACCCTGCTTGCTGACAACACTGCCAGCGCAGGCCAGAACATGCTTTTGATTGCTATTGCAACTGCGGCAAGCCTGTTCGATTTCGATTTGCTGCAGAACCTTGATTCTGTCCGAGAGGACCCGTCAAGGGACTACGCAAGTTTGGTGCCTCACTGCCTCTCTCTAGCCGAGTTTGCTCGAGAGTTTGGTGTCGAGGGCTCGGAAGAGCTGGCGGTTCTGCAGATCAATGTCGCCGAGTACTTGTTCGAAGTGTGCCGGAAGGGCGAGCGTGCCACGAAGCTCCTGAAAGAAGCTCAGCGAAAGCTGACCTCAGATGTCTTGAAGCTCAAAGCGACTGTGCTGCTTGCCCGGTTTACGTATGCGGAAAGCATCGAACTCCAGAACGACGTCTTGGTCCAGCTGGAGGAAGCCCTGCGAGATTTCGACCTGCAAGTGGATGTCAAAGATCACGTGTACGAAATCCATGGGTACAACACAGCTGCATGCTTTCATGCATATGTCGGTCGTTTCGATAAAGCTGAAAGCTGTCTGAAGAAAGCCGAGCGACTTCTATCCACGCACACAGATCGCAGTCCCAGCCTGCTGGAGGCAAGTTTCCATGAGGCTAGCTCAATCAAGGAGGACCGTCGTGGCGATGCAGACAAAGAGGCTAAACATGTGCGGCAGATGTATACCATCCGCAAACATCTGTTGGGTCAGAACTCGTTTCTCACATTACATGCACTCCGAGATCTGGTTGTTTCGCTGTCGGACACGGATCCAGCGCAGGGCGTTGAACTCGCGAATGACCTTGTGCGTGCCGTGGACTCCAACTCTCATTCAGTCATGCTTTCTTTGGTGTCGTGTTGGTGCTCTTATGCAGGATCGGGCAGATAGCTGCAATATTCCCGCCATAGTCGCTGCTGTAGTACATTGTAGTATACCTAGTATTTAAGCACAACACGTGTTTGCGCAGGGCTTGCGAACTCGTCTGCAAGCCTGTTCCAGTTCCAATCTGTCAATCGTAGATTTGCATTTCATTCCTTGATGGCACCTGTTGGTGTGTTGTTGACATCTCAGGATACGTCAGTCATGCCATGCTGTGGCAACATGTCATGAGGTTGAGTTGAACGGTTACCTTCGTTGCAAAGCATCACGCATTCACACGGTCACGGGTGTCCTTATCGAAGTCCTTTATAGGCTTCGTTGCATGCTACTGTACTGCGCGATCTGTAGTTTATGGACAGCAAATAGTCAGAGCACGCAGAAGGGAGTGCTCATTGCGACAAGGAGAATGTGATTGGAGCCGAACATCCCGAGGCAGCGGTTGCATATAGGGCAGCTGCCATGTGTGCCTTTGAGGCGGAGAAGCTCAGCCTTGCCCGACAGTACATCGAGAAATCACTCAAAACACTTCCACCCGACTGGGATCAGGAGTTTCGCTCGAGGTGCTTAAGCCTGCAGATCGCGATTGATCTAGACTTAGCACGAAGCCATGGACATGCAGTACCTGAGGCAGACATAAACAAGGCGGTAGATGAGCTCAAGCGTGCAGTCCGTTTGAGGGAGGAAAGCTCTCCGATAGGCATCACGATGATCAAGCTGCTGTCATATTTGGCATTGGCACAAGCTCTGGCTGGTCGCTGGTCAGATGCAAAAGCAACTGCGGATCGTGCCTTTCAGATGGCCGAACCGATGCGCCCTAACTACAAGCAGTATGCTGTGTTGGCAAAGGCAGAGGTGTATGCGCTGGAGGGTAGCCACCCCGAAGCTGAGCGGTGGTTCCAAATGGCAGAAGAGATAAGCATGCACTGGCCGGAGGAGCACCCATTCAGACATCGTGTTACCAGATCGAGAAGTCGAATCCCGGCGATTACGAGATCCGGTTTTCTTCCTGCCGACTGGGTGACTTGGGGCTGTTTGGGTAAGTGGCATTTGCCGCCGGCCCAGCCGGAGATGCTGCTTTCGTCCACGGAGCATCGCTGAGAAAATGAACCTCGCGAGCGCGTGGCTGATACGAGCTTCCGCCTTGAGAAGATTTGAGTTCACTTGAAGAAGGCGCTCCCGCATGGAGAGTAAGCCCTGATATCAGAGGTCTTCGTTTGGCTCCCAGGATTTCAATGGCCGGCCGAGGGGTTCGGTGTTTCGGTTAACTTCACTTTGCAGAGACGAGCTAGGACCTGAGAAGAAAGCCAAGGGGAGATGTAAGAAGCATAAACTTACACACTGACAGTACCCCGAATCTTAAATCCGATATTATAACTCTAAGCCCAACCGGCTCTTCTTGAGCATTCTGCCGGCAACGCGAAGCCTTCCTGAAGATCGTGGAGAAATTATGCGGGAGCCTTAAGCCAGCCAGAAGCCTCAAAGCGCGAACCGCCGAAGGATTTACTTGTGCCTTAGTATTCCTGCATGGAGAACCCTTCAAGGTGTACGTCGAAGCCATGACAGCGAAGAACTCCAGCGGATCATTCTGTCAATTCACACTCTGCTTCGTGATTCAACTCTTCGGTTGGCTCCCGACACTGGAAACTCAACAGTGCGAAACCCGAAGTCGCCATTCCTGCCACCCAACTCAGAACCTTAAGCTTAAGCTCGAAAGGGTAGAATGCAGCCATCGGACCCACCCTGCTCCTCAGCTTCAGGAATGTCGCCTTCAAGGAGATTGTCTTAAAGTCCAACCGGCGACTGCGGGTGAAGAGGCCGCTGGCGGACCCAAATCTTAAACTGGGGCGAGAGCGGCGGGGTTCAGGGTGTAGGGGGCTAAGGCTTCTATAAATCGTCATGCCCGCGCCTAAACGCGGCATATCTTGGAGTGCAGTAGATTTCCCCCGGCTGGTGAACACGTCCGCCGCTTAGGTTTGGAATGTGATGCTTTGCCTACGTTTTGCGCCGAAGGATTTTGGAGCAAGACATGGAATGGGCCGGAGAGGGTTCTTCATTCCATCTAGCAGGAGCAGCAAAGAAGTTCAGGGTTTCGAGATGAGGCTTTCAAGTTTGGGATTAGGGTAGCTTGGTCTTGGTTGCTGAACTCATACGTTTAGGCATCTGGATCGATTGGTATGAGAAGCCCTTCGGCCGCAGGATTCTGTAAACTTCAAGCCCGGAAGCCGGGTTAGGTTCTGGAGTCCATCGCCCGAAAAAGCACTAGGGTATCGGGTTGTGCGAGAGCCACTCGACGGCAGGATCAACTACTTGCGGAAGGTCCGGTATAAGGTGGCGGGAATGTGTGACTTGCACTGGGTCAGGGATTAGGGTTTCAATTTCAGACTTAGTATTCAGGGCTTGGCTCTGCCTTCCGGGTTCAGCTGTCCGGGTGGGAATTCTGAACCCGGAAGAAGGTTTTCACCAAATGCTAAGGCACGGTGCTGCAGCGAGGCTTGCCTGCACCCACAAACCACCGGAAACTCTGAACTCTAAGGATTTGGGATTTAGGGTTTATAGGCTTTAGGGCCGTTTAGGGTTTAGGGTTCCCTCCGGAGATCTCCAGAGCCCAAATAGACGGCTCGACCCTTTTAGGAAGCCTCCCACATGGATTTTTAGGGCAACCCGACATACAGCCTCATCCAACCGAAGAATGTCCAATCATCCGAAACTTTAGGGTTCAGGATAAGGCCCGAGGACTTCTGTAGAATGCCTTACAAGAAGAAGCTTCAGAGCTTAGCAGATCGGCTTTGGGTTCAGGGTTGATTGTATGGGGAGCACGATAAACCTTGAAGCCCCCCAAGTTCCTGTTACTGGGTTCTTGTTAAGGAACTTAATTTAAGTTACCATAATAGGGATCTATCGTAAATAATAGGGTTTCCTTATTATGGCAACTTAAATTAAGTTCCTTAACAAGAACCCAGGTTATCTCGCTGCCCCCAAGCCGCTAGCCCCTAATAGCCTAAGCCCCACGGTTGAACCCACCGCAAACGGTCAAACCCTGGAGCCGAAGCACACTTTCCTAAACCCCCCAAAGTAGGTAAATTACTGGCCCAATACCTATAAGAGGCCATTATTCTGCATACTTTGGGGGTCCAGGTTGGGGAGTATTTAATCTGATGCGATCTCATCTGCCATTAACATTGTCCGATGATCTATGTGAACATCATTTTTGCAATGTTTTGTTTGTAGATCGATGTTGATGCAAACATCATGTACTAGTACCCCAAAGCCCAGTTCTTAACATCAAGGCCTCTGTATTGATTTTTTGTTGGAGCTCTCCTCTGCGAATCGACCATGCCGAGACCGTACGCCAAGAACCGTGCAGCCTGGCATTAGACTTCGCACCCTCAGTTCCCAAGGCCTCCCAGCCCGAAAGCCCGCAAGGTCTAAGCTTGCCAAATCCGCCAAAACCCCTAATCCCCTGAACTCTAAACCCCAGGTCCTAAACCCCAAACCCTAAACCCCTGAACCCTAAACCCTCGGCTGTAAACCCGAAACCCTCCCGTGAACTACCCGAATGGTTGAGCTGGGTGATTTAAGAGCCCATGGCCTTTTGCAGGGACACGAGGACGAGGATGAGGTCGGTCGGGCTTGGGGATTTTTCAGGGCTTTAAGGGTCGAAAGGGTCAGGGGTATGGTTGGTTGGTTTAGACGTTTAGAGGTTTAGGGGTTTAGAGGTTTAGAGGTTTAGGGTTTAGGAGTTACAGGGTTTAGGGTGGGGCTTTCAGGGCATTGAGGAGTGCCGGTTTTAGGGGGTGTAGGGCTTTAACAGGGTGCAGGTTTTCGGGCGTTAAGGCTTTACGGTGCAGGGGTTTAAGTTGTTGTGCTTGGTCCTATAGAAAAGAAATTCTAGAATCAGTTCTACACGGGTATCTTAAGGGTTTTAGGATTATAGCGCTTAGGTTTGGAGTTTAGGGGCTTTGGATTTTATGGTTTAGGGTGATTGCACAACTAGGGTTTTTAAAGGTTTAGACTTTACGGGTTTAGGGCTTGAAGGTTTAGGGTCACAGTGGTAGTGTTTGATCGAAGTCCTGTCTTCGATTGATTAGCCAGTTTAGGGATAGGGTTTAGTGTTTAATAGTTATAGGTTAGAAGTGGCAGCAGCCCCGAACTGAGGTACTCACTAATGATTCAATGACCCCTATCGTGTGCCTTTTGCCTCTTGCTATGAGCTTCGAAGTACGAGATCAACGCTGAAAGCCCAAGAGCCCATGGACCCTAGACCCTAAACCTGACCCTTACCACCTTAAGCTATCCTGAGACAAGTGCCACGAAGCAAAGTGCTATGAAGCTCTAGAGGCTGGGGTTTAGGGTTCGCGGCTTCAGCTTCAGGACAGGGATGGGAAGAATTGGAGGCAGAGGTTCTTAACCTCGAACCCTAAACCCCTAAAAGCCCTTAAACCCCCTAAACACGCTAAAACCTCTAAACTCCTTAAACCCCCTAAATCCCCCAAATTATAAACCCAAAATGCGCCCTCGAAGAGACGTTGGCTCAGCACGAGCTATCGTTGCCTTCTCCCGGCCCGTAGCCAGCAGCGCTCGCTGGCATCTCGTCTTACTGAACGGCTCATGGGGGTAATATGAAGGCCGAACTGAGTACCCAATGCCAGGCTTTAGGGTTCATAGGGTTTAGGAAAATAATTACCTAATGCTTTTTGGGGGTTCCTTATTGTTATTCTAGTGAAATTTACACTCAAAACCCTATTCGAAATCATTACGGCCCCTACATTGTTAATCCCAAGTGGGTATTTTGGGGGAAAAACCGGGACGGCAATGTAGAGGGCTCCATCACATCCTGTTCTTTGCAATCGGGTCCTGACTTAGAACTTACACCGGCTCTTGGGCTTAAGAAGTTAGAGGGTTTAGGGTTTAGGGTTTGGGTTTAGGGGTCAGGGTTTAGGGTTCAGGGTTTAGGGTTTAGGGTGTAGGTTTAGGGTTTAGGGGTCTAGTAGAGTCTAGTAGGGATTGAGTCTGTTGCTTTCTGCCTCAAGGGGAACTGGGGCTCGGTGCGTTTATGCTAAAGCTAGCGTACTGGGAATGTTAGGCCAATTTCAAGGCCTTCGTCCAGTCAATAGGGGTACCTTTTGAATTCCCGAATCCCTAAAAGAATCCCAAGTCTTCGGGTCTGGTCTGCGGGTTTTGGTGATGCTGGGTGTAGCGTTTGAGGATTGTTGGTCCTAGCAAGCTTGAATGCACAGCAGGTGCAGGAGCCCTTTGCAGTGGCCCAGCCTGTCCCAATTTGAGGAGCCCGACTCCCAAACCCTCCTGCAGTGCTTGATGCCGCAAGCTTTATGGCTCCGAAACCAAAAACCGTAGACGCTAACCGAAGCCCAGACACCCGGAAAGACCTGAGCCAGCAATCTTAGGAGTGTGAGAAAGGTAGGAGACCTAACATACACTCGCAGCATGCTCGGACTTTATTATTGCAGTGATTCCCGCAAGGAAGCTCCGCGAAACTGTTGTAAAGGGAACTCCAGAAAGTTGGAATATGGATTAATGATAGGATCCCCTATAATTTACCTTAAAGGGGTTACGATAATGATATTCCAACTTTCTGGCTTCTACTGTAAGGCTCGGCGACGCCCACGTAAAAGCTCTCAAAGCTTGTGAGACCCGTTTGAAAACCCTGACCCATGCCAATCAGCGCAGCAAGAAAATCCTGTACAAGGCCATAAACCATGTTGAAAACCGTCCAATGCCAAGGTCCGCGAGGCCATGTCCTTCGTGCATACGGCACGGAGGCCTTCATGCACAGAGCTTAGGGACAGAGACTTGTAATTTCCTTGTACCGGAGTTTTGAAAAAAGCTACCTCAGCGATCTATCCATCCGTTGTTGGAAGCGGCTTGGCTTTGGGGTTGGAGTCTTGGGTGTTTGGCTTCGGATATGGGTTTGGGGCTTACGGTTCTTATCGGCGTTGTAGTTCGATTACCGGGGCTTGAGTTTTGGGTTTGGGTTTCGGAGATAGGGCATTGGGTTTGAGGATGCTTCGGAGTTTGGGGGGTGGGGGGGTGGGGTGTACCAAACTGTGTGCCCCTGGCTTAGTTATGCACAAAGCCTC